GGAACCTCAAGTGCTCTTCGCAAAGTCCAATAAAGACATTCCCACGGCTTCTCCGGGTTCTGGTTGTTAACGGAGGGTTCCCGAGCACACAGCCGATTCTGTAGAGCCGGGTCTCGTAATTCTCAAATCGACCCGCCACGAAAGTTTGCGCCGATTCTACCGTGGCAAAGCGAGCGCCCCAAGGCCGGGTCTCAAAAATGGGAACCCCAGACTGGAACCCTGGTTTCTTGGCTTTCTACTTTAGGAATTCCCTGATCTAAAAATATGAAATCCACTTCTCTGGAAAACTAAGGCCCTGGGATGCTGTATTCTTGGGATCCAGTGGCCTCTGACAGCCGTCAGGGCGAGAATGAGCAAACCCCAGGTTGCTGTTCATTTTGCCAAGGATGCAGGTCTAGGATAATAGCCAAGTCTAGGGTAATGGCAATGGCTACAGACACCAGGGCAGCACAAGAGAGGAACTGGCTGTCTCTTGCCCTTCTTCCCCAAGCTGCTTTTGGACACCCCATCTCTGCCAAGGAAAGAAAAAGTGGTGGGCTGAACGGGGGACTGCCTGAACTCCAGTTGGTAGAAGCTACGTTTGTTGCCTTCAGAGCCAGGCTCAGAATGCCCTTCTCCCAGGAGGAAAAAAAAAAAAAAAACAGCTGCTGGAAAAAGGCTGGAGTGGAGCAAAAGCTGACCACCTACTCCCTCCGTTGCATAGCCAGCCACTGCCTCTTTCCTAGCCCTCTCTTCCCCTCAGCTACTCTCAGGAACCAAACATTTTTTGCTGGACTCCGGAGAGTGATGAGCCCTACCAACCGCTGACGAGCAGCTCACGGGAGAGACCAGTTCTGCGCTCCCGTTGGTGCGACACTAGAAGCCATGAGGTTGAGTTGATCCTAGGTCTCCCCACCAAGACAGGCTAGGGAGCCCCAACTGGCAGAAGCCTCAGTCTAGGGTCCTGGAAAGCCTAAAGGACACAATGAGATCATTCCCACCCCCTACCGGAGCACCCTACTCCTCTCCCCTTCACTCAACAATTGCTTGTGTTCAAAGAAACAAGAGCTTTTATTGGGGAAGGGGTGTTAAGTCAGGCAGAAGGAGGTAAGTGGTCCCGACTGCACTCCCAAAACTGGGTTTTCTAGTTTGAACTTCTCCCGGCCTAAGAGGCTTAGGGCTGGAATGTCCCAGAGAGCCACGGATGGCCCCGGGGGCAGGCCATGGTACATTCCTTCCCTTTTCCTAAAATCCCTTGATCAGGGAGCAAGGATTAGGGCAGGATACCCCCATGAGTGGGTGGAAGGATAGGCCATGAGGGTCTTCCAACAACCCTAACCAAATTAAACTCCTGGACCATTGTTGGACACAGAGTCTGTTTTGAGTGAGCCTAGCCTCAGAAACTCGACGGCACATAACAACAACAACAACAAGCCTCAGAAACACCAGCTACTCCTCAGAAGGACGGCTGGGAGATCTACTTTCGTAGTGACACTGCCTCAGAAACCCAAGGAGGGGTCGCTATGAGTCGGGTCCAACTCGAGGGCAAATAACAACAGCCTCAGAAAAGGTCCCTATGGCAACTCTTTCACCCTCACGACCCTCTGCTCAGCCCAGCCAGAACCTCAAGCCTGAATTTCCTGAAAGTCACAGAATCACTGCTGACTGTGTGGCCTGGGAGTAACAGCGAATTAGGGCACATGGTTCCAGCTACAGGAAGCCCCTTTCCCACCTACCTTTGTGTCTCATTCTTAAGTGACAGCTACTGAAGCAGCAGGCTGGGATTGCTGTGTCCTATGCTGCTACTACTCACTGCCATCAAGTCGATTCCGATTCATAGCAACCCCCATTGGATTTCCACAGCAGTAAATCTTTATGGCAGTAGCTTGCCCCATCTTCCTTCCATGGAGAAGCTGGTAGGTTTGAACTGCTAAACTTCTGGTTAGCAGATAAATGCCTTGTCCACTATGCCACCAGAGTTTCCTGTGTCCTATGTCAGGCATGGGACTTGAGGTACAGTGCAGGTGAAGCCTTGTCCAAGGCCACATGGCCAAATCAGAACACTGAACCTCTGCTCTTGCAGCCCCTGCCCTGCATATGCATTTGTGTATGACACATCTGTGAGTGTGTAAGCCCCTGCCATAATGGATTGTGGTGGCTGGAAGGTTGTGGCTGGGGGTGAGCAGAGAGACAATATCCAGGACTCGGGTCCTTTCTCCAGACAACATTCAGGATCAGGCCATAGCTCCCTCTCCTCCATAGCTGCCTCACTTCCTACTTGTTCAGCAGAACAGACTCTCCTGGGGTTGGGGGGGGGGGGGATCCCTACAAGCTTCACCCCCTCTGTGTGTCTCTGGGCCTCTGGGAACACAAGGCTTTACCTGAAAGAGTCTGAGGGCTTTTCCATCCACACAGCAGGCATCATGATTTCCAAATAAAAGGACTGTTGTGCCTGCCCTGAGCACTGCCAGGGGCCTGAGCCCAGAGAGGCACACAGCAGGTGCTCAAAAACTGCATTAAATTCATGAACCGCAATAAATACAAGCCCCTCCAACAGAATAGCTGAAGCTGCAGGGTCGCAGAACAGTCCCAGCCCACATACATGGACAACTGCAGACTCTTGGAGGTGGGGGACATTTAGAGAGCTTCAACTCCAGGCCTCTGGATGCCTGTAAGTACACCATTCTTTCCACGGCCTTGCCCAAGGATGCATTTTGCTCCCCACTTTAGCAGGTTCAGAACACACCTCCTATCCCCTACCAGCCAGGTTTTGTGCACCTGAGACAAGAGGCCTGGCTGTGTGTACACATATGTACCTGGGTGCAGTGACTTTGTGTGTGCCTGTGAACATGGCACACCTGTGTGGTGTGCAGTTTGTAGGTGTGCACACATGCTCATATATCCTATCTGTACCCAGCTAGGGTGAGTGGCATACTACCGGGGTAGGGCAGCTACATAGAGGTCGGTGTGTGAAGGGGTACTCCTTTGGCATGCTGTACCACCTAGATACCTATTTGAAAGCAGCTGCAGGAGATAGTGGCCAAGAAATGTGGCAAAAGGTGTGGCTGAAAGCAAATGGTGGGCAATCATAAGTCCCTATACTCCCCTCCCCCCATAACCAAGACTAATTTCCTATGAGAGGTCTCTGAATTTAGAGAAACTTTCTGTGGTGGGGGGCACAAGATGTGCTGAGCTTTCATAATCCAAACTCAGGAAAGCATCCTCCATCTGATAAGTCTGCCTCAGACCCTGCCCTTGTGGTCACAGGCACCCAGTGAGAGTGGGCCAGGCCCTAAGGAGCTATCCTCTCTCCCTGTGGCCCAGAGCTGTAGGCCTTGGGCTGTGGCTGAAGGAGTGGGAAGCAGGCCTGGTTCTATCCTGCACCCACTCCTGCCCTACAGTCCTCACCAAGGAACTCAGCTCAGGGACTGGTTGCCTTCCTCTGATGGAGGGCAGGGTGAGGTCTCAAAGGTGGTGCCTTCACAGTGTCTCAGACACTGACAGGCTGTGCAAGCAGTCCAGGGCAGAGACCCCCAGGAGATGAGAATACATTCGGCTGGATGAAGGTCACCATCCTGCAGACGGGGGCTCCCTTGGGTTCCTGTGTCTGCCGAAGCTAGAAAGCAGGTGAGGGGCAGAGGGCAGCCTAGGGTCTGGCTGTGTCCAGAGAAGCCGGTCAGAGCTATATCCTACTGCTCCATGTTGTCTGTTTGCTCAAGACACTGAGGTCTCAGGGCCAGTTAACAATTATTGAGCAAAATCCTTTGACAAACTTCACTGAAGCTGGAGAATTCGAGGGGATCATTCTTGGGGGTGGGGAGGGTAACATCTTTGTCCCCAGCGAGGGCCGTGTGGTGCTGCCGCTAAGCTCCCATTGTATGGGAAAGCAGCTCAAAGATGGAAGGCTCCCTGAGCTTGTGGGTTGGGGTTGAGAGACGAAGTCACCTGGCAGCCCAGAGAAGCCAGAATGTGGGCCTCTGTCTGGCAAAACTGCCCTGCAGGGGGCAGAGACAGACCCTTTGCCTGCCAAGGCCTGGCGGATTTGCTAGGACCTGGAAGGTGCAAAGCAAGGGGAGAGGCAGGCTCTGCAGAAGTGGTTGTGGGCCTGTTGGGGTTTTTGGGGTCTCCCACTGCACTCGCCAGCGGCCTGGAGCCAAAAGAAACGTTTCGTCTGATTAGAAGCCATCATTTCTATCCCAATCCCGGAAAATTGACTGTGGTGCAGAGGGGGAGGCCCGAGAAGAGCAGCCTTCGGGGAGAGAGGATCCAGACTAATTAGGAAGCAGCATCTGGGGGGCGCCATAAGAGCTCAGGCTGCTGTCACTCAGCTGGGCTCTGGTCCCGGGAGAAGAAGCCGGGAGAGAAGGGGCCTGGAGCCCCTAGACGAAGATACCGTTGGGAGCTGCCAGATAGGGCCCCGGCCTCTGCCCTCGCCCCAGCGTTGGTTTGGCGGCGCCGGCTCCGTGCGATCCTCCTCGGCGAACATTCACTCATTCTGGGGCTGTTCTCGCTGGGGCTGGGGATTTCGTGGCAGGCCAGACAGAAGCTAATTCTGAGCGAAACAAGTCATTTGGGGCCTGAGGTGGGCACGAGCCGCGCGGGACTTGCAGGCCAGATGCGTTTCTTTTGTGCGGCCGAGGGAGAACTCGGTGTGTCACCGGGGAAGGAGGGAGAGGCGCG